GTGTGTGTGTGTGTGTGTGTGTGTGTGTGTGTGTAAAAGAAAAGTGACACGAGGAATCTGCCGTGCGTTGGTTAGCTGGCAGAAGGCGGGAGCAGGAGGAGAAGAGATACGTGGACGGAAGACCAGTGGACCGGAAGGACGCAAACGAATCCAAAAGCCGGCGTGGAGAGGACGGGCTGTCTGAGATCATGCGCATCTCCCCCACGGCTGGACAAAGGGGCGGTTGCAGAACTGGAAGGAGAAAGAGACGTGGGGGCTGAGGATGGCCGAGGAGGCGATGCTGGCAGATCGTTCACCTCTTGTCTAAAGGCGTCTGTGCATGGGGTAAAGCGGCTCAGCCCATCCGAGTTCGGCCAGTAGGGAGAAACCCAGCCTCGGCCCATCCGAGACGAAGTGCTGGAAGCCGGAGACACCAGCAGCAAGGGAGACAAGCCGATGCCGGGGGACGGCGGGACCAGAGCAGATGCCGGATGAATGAATGGTGGCCTCCTTCCACCCCCACCCCCCCACCTCCCGGGAGCGATGCAGACAACAGGAGAAGCAAAGCTGTGGGCTCAGAGTGGGACGGCACAGCCAGTAAAAAGGCGCTTCAAACGCAAAGTCATTCTCAGAAGCCGTGAGACCGGACCACCGGCAGGCCAGCATGACGAGAAATGCTGCAGGGACTCCTTTGGGTGAGGGAACGGCAGCAGGTGGAACCCTAGATCTGCAGAAGGAATGAGGACCCCAGAGAGGGAACGGGTCTGGACCAATGGCAAGCTCCTGGAGGTGGCAGTGCAGAAATCCAGCGTCGTGCTGCCCTGGGTACATCAAGGCTCGGCCCGGTCCTTGGTCCTCATGGTGCAGCGGTGTGCTCTTTAACACGTCGGTGTGCTCTTTTCTGCATGGGCCCGTGTCCTAAGTAGTTTGACACCTGGACCGCGGCTCCCACTCGTGCCATGTGTGCATCCAGACACAAGGAAACCCTGGACCACTTCAGTGTTCCCTCTGTTGACCAGGGTGTTGTCTGTGGGCCCGTGGGGGAGGGTTTGGGTTTTTACACTAAATCACAGTCCACCTCTAAGCGCAGTCTGATCTTCTTCAGCAAGCGTCTCAAGTCCTCCATGCGTCCAGGAAGCAAGGCTGTGTCACCTGCTTATCGAATGAGGGTCAATAAGCCTTCCTCCAGGCCTGCTGCCGGGCTCAGCAGACAGATTGGGGAAGTAGGGTGAGAGGATAGAACCCCAGCACACACCTCTCCGGATTGCAAGCCATCCGTTCTCCTCAAATGACTGACTTTCTCTTCCACGCGTGTGGTTTTCATGCGCACAACGAGGTGCTCCGGAAGTCCCCTTCTTCTCCATGTGACCTATGGTTTGTTTTGCTCCACGTAGCTGAGTGCTTTTGCATAGTTAAAAACAAAAACAAAACCACAAGGGAACATCTCTCTGGCATTCTCTGCTTTCGGCCACGGTTCATCAGCTACAACATCCCTCGTCCATGTCCTTTGCTGCATCTCCTTTGAATTTCTGGTGGCTCCCTGTCCATGGGCACCTGTCGTGGCTGTTGAATTGTCTTCGGCAACGGTTACTTGTGTGATACCAATAATAGCCGGATAAGGCCTTCCCTCCAACAACACCTGCTCTGCGACCCCCGAGTCCCCCAACTGCACGTTGGACCCAGAGAAGCGAAAACGCATGTCTGCACGGCGCCGGCTACAGGAACGGTCACCACAGCCTCACCCAAGATAGTCTCCAGGTGGGCACTAGTCAGCGTCAAAACCAAACCATGACATGTCCACACAGCGGGCCTCCACTCAGCAGCCAAAATGACCAAACCCCGTCCCCATGACAACTGCCCGGGCCACAGACACACTCAGATGCAACCCTGCACCTGGGAGAACACACACACACACACACACACACACACACACACACACACACACACACACACACACACAATGATTCCATAGTATGAAATCCAGCCGGGTAGCTCCCCTCTGGATGCGGAGACCAGATGGCTGAATGGAGCTCAGCTAACTCCCGCATGGATGGTCCTGGGATTTCTCCCCAGGGAGCTGCTGGCCTGGAACCCGGATCTCAGCACCCGAGCCTCAAACACGACCCCTAGTCTCTCTGATCCCCTCTAGCAGAGGCCCTCCCTCGCTTCCAGTGCCCCAGCTCCCCAGCCCCTTCCAGTTCCTGAGCTGGTTGCTGTTGAAATGCCATCCACTCATGCCCAGCTTTCAGTAGCAGAGTAGGGTGTGTCCTGGCCAGTGGCACGCGCCAGGGGACTGCGTGCAGCCAGCATAGGTTGAATGATGCCCGGTGGAACTAGGCCGGTTCCTGCCTGCACAGGGGCTTTGGGTGGGTGGCCACACAAAGGCTCATGCGGCATTTGGATGGCGGGCATCCCCTGGGCAAGGGGGACCACCCCTGCCGCTCCCCGCCCCCCCACCCTCTCCTGGGAAATGTGGCCGTGGCTCAGTGTCTGCTGGGTGGGAGCAATCTCGGCCTCTCCCCCACCTGGTTCAAGGAGCAACTGGAGGGATGCCCATGTGGCTGCCATAGAAACCTCAAGAACCGGGCAGCGTCCAGGGCCTGGGACAGTGGGAACTGGCAGGGAATAGGGGCATGCGAGGGCACACTGCCCGGTGCAGGAATGCCGTGGGTGGCTGCAGTCAGGCAGGGTCCCCGGTCCCCAGGCTGTCCTAGTCTGTGTGAGCAGAGCCACAGATCTGCCCTGTGGTCATGGGGTCCACCTGGGGCCGGTATGTGCGGGCTGACACCTGGGGCAGACTGAGGGCAGCATCCCCAGCCAGTTGGACCTGCCTATCTTCCGGTCCAGGGAAGACTTTGCCCCAGGCTCTAGGATGAGGTGCCTCTGAGGTCCCACTGTCTACCCCGGGCAGTGCAGAAAGCGAACCCTGGGAGCCCACCCACAGTTAGAAATAAAGCTGCAGCAGACCGGCTCTTTATTGAACTTTCCCAGGAGACAGTGGGCCTTGGGGCTGGGGGCAGGTGGGAGAGGTGGCCATGAGCTCAAAGATCCTGTTTCCGGGGTCCCACTTGGAGGGGCTGGGAAGCTCCTGGGTTCTGCCCCTCCCTTGCACCGCCTGGCTGGGTGGGCAGCATCCTGCCCCAGCTCCTGGGCCTTGCTGAGGCCTTCTGCGTGTGCTGGGGTACCCGGCCCCTCCGGGGGTGGGTAGGTGGGCTCTCACAGCCTGTTCCGGGGGCAGTGCTGCAGGGTCTCCTTCAGGGCCTTCACCACCAGGTCCACATTCTCCCGGGTGGCATTGCAGCCCAGGAGCCCGATGCGCAGCACCTGGTGGGGGCAGGGGACACAGGGGTCACTCCTTCTCCTGACCCTGCCCTGCCATGGGGACCACACACACCAGGCCACAGAGGGCATGTGGGGGGGTACCCCTCTGCCATGGCCCACTACACCTCAGCAGGTAGCAGGCTTCGGCCCTGGGCCCTGGGCACCAGGTCCTCTCAACAGGAGGGGTGCTGTGAGGGGGCTCTGAGAGGCCAGGGCTATGCTGATCCCCAGGAATTCACCATGTGGGGGTGCAAGGGTCAGGAGAGGCCAAAAGGATCAGATGGGGACACTTCTTTTCATTACCCCTGCTGGCCTGGGTCTCCTAAGTGTGTCTACTGACTGGGGGCCTCGCTGGCCCTGGGTATGTTGTTGGAAGTTCCCCTCCTGAGGGTAGACCTGCCCCTGGGGGACCTTGCTGACCCTGGATGTAATGCTGGGAGTCCACCCGCCCGTCCACCCGGGGCTGTGATGCTGGTGCCCACCCCCACCCCCCTAGGGTGAGACCCAGCTGGATGCAGTGCTGGGCATCCTCCCCACACCACCTCATCCTCTCACCTTCCCCAGAGCTTCCCTCTGTGGGTGGGCCCCCTGGGGTCTGGTGCTGGCCGCCCCCACCCCTCCAAGGTCGCATGTTCTCACCTTCCCCACCGAGGGCCCCATGCCCCCCGTGATCTCGATTCCAAAGTGGTCCATGATGTAGTCGACGATGTCCCTCCAGTCGTAGCCAGCAGGCACGGCCACTGTGGTGACCGTGGGCAGCCGGAGCGCCTGCCAGACAGAGCGGCTCAGCCAGGGGTGCACAATGCACACCTCTCACCACCAGCCCTGCTGCCTGCCCAATCTGCCCGAGCCTGGCCTGGGGCAGGCAGGCCCTCAATGCCCGGCTGCCCGCACTCCTTGGGTGCAGGATGGCTGAGCCTGAGCAAATCTCACCCACCCTGTGGGCAGCAAGGACCTCGCAGTCAGACTGCTCATTGTCCACCACTGGGGGCTCTGGAGAGCTTGGAGGAGGGGAGGGCCCTGTGGCCCAAGTGTCTCTGGGCCTGAGAGAGACCATAGGCAGTGGCCAGTCGAAACCCCAGCTCACCGGGTCCTTGACGAACAGCTGCAGCCCCAGCTCCTGCAGGCGGCCATGCAGGTACAAGCTGACCTCCTGGTGCCGCCGCCAGCTGCTCTCCAGGCCCTGCTCGGAGAGGGGTTGAGGACACCCTCAAGAGGGCAGGCAGGGGGCCAGGCAGGGGACTCTGGGCTCCCAAGGCCTCATCGGGACACCTCCGGGTTCAGGGTCCCCAGCCCCCAACCCTGGTTTCTGGCTTTGGTTCTAGGGGTGGTCAGACGGGGTGGGGGTGGGACGATGGACCAGGGGGCCTGGGAGAGGGGAGGGTTCCCTAGGGTGTCAGGCTTCCCGGCCCCTCCTGACCCCCGACTTCCTTGACTCCGGGAGTTCTGACCCGCACCCACAGCAGCCTGTCTTTCTGGGGCGCAGGCCCCGCTTCCGGCCCCCAGCTGCCCACTGACCAGGCTGCCTCCCTCCCCACTTCCTCCGCTGGTGCTCCCCTGGTGCCCAGGGTCAAAGAAGGCCACCTATTTTAATTCTGGCCTCACCCCCACCCCCTGGAGGGGGCGGAGCAAAGGGAAGAGAGCTCATTAGCATAGAGGCGAGTCAGGGAGAAATGAGTGGGGAGGAGCGCGCCCCCGCAGGTGGGTGGGGAGGGGCAGAGCCAGGGGAAGAGCAGGTGAGAAAGGGGAGGCGGAGGGGGGCGGGGTAGGGGAAACGAGAGAGCGGGTGGGCTGGCGCCAGTGCACGGATTGGGGACAGAGCGCATGGCCCCTGGATCCAACTGGGTCCCTCGGGCCCTCCGGTCTTCAGCCACCCTCTTGAGGACACACCACCAGACGGAGACCTCTGGGCAGGCTCTATCTGCCCAGAGCCCTGGGGTAGCGGTCGTGGCTGGGGACAAGGCCACCTCCTCCCTGCAGAGGGTCTTCTGGGATCTGCTGGAGTCCTGAGAGTCCTGAGAGTCGCCCTGCATCCACCTCCTTCCCTAGGGAGTCCGCCTCCATGCCTGGTGGATGGGAAGGGGGAGGGCCTGACCCCCTCGGGTGGAGGATGTCCCCCTCGGGGGTCAGCCTGCCCGAGGCCCCTCACCTGCTCCACGAGGATTGCCAGGCTCTCCCGCAGGGTGAACAGGCCGATGATGGGCGTGGTGTGATGGTACCTGAGAGCAAGACAGAGAGTGCAGTGGGCAGGGCCTGCAAGCTGGACCCCACCTGCCGCACCAGCTGGTGCTTCGTGGAGGGGCCAGGACCAGGGCACTGGGCACCTCTGGAGGACGGTCTGCAGCAAGTGAGGGGGGGGGGTCCCCTGTCACAGAAGGGTGGGCTCCGGTGGGCACTGAGCAGCCTGGCACAGGTATCAGGGCTCCAGGCAGGAGTGTGGGGGCTGGGTGTCTCTGATGAGAGATTGGGGTTGTGAGAGGTCATCCCCTCACCCCTGTGCACTTAAGGCCCCCTATCAGCCTCCCCGCTGCCCGAGCCCCCACTACCAGCCGCGCCGGCCCCCACGCTCCCTCACATTCTGGGCTCGTCTTCATTGTCTCCGCAGGCCCAGAAGTTGGCCAAGTACTTCATGTCCAGGTAGTAGGAGCAAGGCTTTGTCTTCCGGCTGTAGACCTTGTTTCTGGAGAGAGAGCTCAGACTGAGTGTGGGTTGGGGGCTCCTGGGGAACACGTGGGCATTGCGATGGGAATGTGGGCCCCCCGGCCCACCCCGGCCACGCACCGGGCCTTCTCGCTGAAGGAGATGAGCGAGGTTCCTGGGGGGGCGTTCAGCACCTTCTGGGACCCCGAGTACAGGATGTCAATCTCTGTGGAGAGGGGGTGCTGGACAGGCCAACTGGGACCACCGAGCCCAGCCCCCTGCCCAACTTCTTCTCTTATTAGGGAGGCTTGGCCCCACCTTGGGGGCAGCAGGGGCACCTGAGGACAGCTCAGCCCCTCTGCGTGAGATTTGTCCTCTGGAAGCCGGGTTTGGAGGTCTGCCCAGGGACCATTAGTGCCAAGGGGCTCTGGTCAGGATGGGCCCTGAAGGAAGGAGTGTCCAGCCCGGCCAGTGGGGCAGGGGCAACAAGCCGGCTGTAGCTATAGTCGCGGCTCAATGCTGGACCACAGACGGGGAAACTGAGGGGCTGAGGGGTCAATGCCCTGCCCCTGGTCCAAAGTAGGAAGGCTCAGAACTGC